GATTATGCGGCGGCTTTATCTAAGATATATTATCGTTCAAAGTTTCAACGACAGAAGATGCTATCATGTTAATATGACAAAATGAGCACATTTAAATCCTTAAAAAGAAAACATGCAACAGGAAAGATAAAAATAAACTGCTATATTATTAGCAGTACTGTAATATATTCGTAAACGCAATTAAACAAACATTGTGTATTCTTAATTTTTCTTTTCTAAAAGCGTCATTTATGAATGCAAATTTGAATTAAATGTACATGATGCTAAAAGCAATCTCGTTGTATATGCTTTTGGGTGCAAATTGCATTCTAACTCTCTGGCCTGACGTTTTTATATGATTGTTAAATGCATTAAGATTTATCAGTTATCGGCATTTATATCATGATCATTTCAGAAAGATTTCTAATTCCGTGTTTTTAAGAATTAATATTTTACAGAGAGGAATTACATATAAGAAGAAAGAAACACCTTGTTTTTATCACTTTTTAAAGAAAAATTAAAGATAAGCGCAAAACGAAGTTTATTATAATTTAAAACGATATGGAAAAAAATCATCTAACATATTCGAAGCACTTTCTCATTTCTTTCAACCTCTAAGAGAGGAGTGAAACAGTATATATCAAATGGAAACCTTTCAGAAAGTAACAGTGAGGAAACCAGCATTTCTACTTCTGTTGCCAAATGACGCTACGATTTTTTCACTTTTTTCGCAGATGTAAAAGACAGATTGATTTTACATACAATACATTAAATACATACTCTGATTATATGTTGATAATATTATTAACATGTTTAACATCTAAAAAATTTAATTTTTCTAATCTTCATATTTAAACGTATGGTACACATGATAATTATATAATAAGAACATTGCACACACACAGAAAAAAAAATGTGATAGTCCTATATCTTCCGTTCTACTGGGCCGATTTCGCATTTTTCATGTCTCGAAAGCGAGGCTTAGGATGTATATTAGATTTTTTTGTAGCGTTTTTCTAATACAGGTATTTTGACACAAAATCGGACTTTTCTGAAATGACATGCCAATGATTTTCTATTTTTCAGTTATACGACTCAAATTATGCCAAACTGGCAAGTTTTGTAAAACTCGCACAATTAGTTTTCAAAAAATTAGCTCTCAAAATTTTAGCTCCTCAATGTCAATTGAATTTGGTATATACTTATTAATCTTTCTTTTTTTACAGAACTCATTTAATTTTGCCTTTCACATTTCGAAATTTAGGTTCATTCCAAATAAAATTCCACCATTTTTATATGATTTATTTTTAAAATTTGTATTTTATAATAATTTTTATAAATTTTTCGACAAACATTTTCAATTATAATCTATAAAATTTTTACCATCATCTTGAAGTAGATGTATTTCTAACTATACCTACAAAAAATTAGAGTTTTTTTTTTGTTCAAACTTTCCGAAGATATACTTGAATTTATATATTGGCAAGTTCTGAAATCTGACATATTTGTTGAAAGTGATAATAACATCAGATGTGGTTTCGGCACTTTGTTAAAATTATTTGAAAGTAAGAACAATGGGACCTATGCACAATATAAAAAAGGAAAGGAAAATAAGTTGGCATATATTAAGAAGTTCGCCAAGTGAATTATACTTTGGCGCAAACTGAAAAAAAGGGAAAGGGAAAGTTTTAAATTTCTCCATAAATTTCTCACCAAAAATTACAAAATTTAAAATCCAGGCAAAATATCAGTCATAGAATCGAAATATGGAAAAAATTCGCATGTTATTTTAGAAAAAGTCCGATTTTGTGTCAAAATATCTATATTAGAAAAATGCTATATATAAATCTAAAACATATCCTAAGCTTCGCTTTGGAGACGGGAAAAACGCAAGTTGAATTCCGTCAATCGGCCCAGTAGAACAGGAGACAGTCACATTTTATTTTTTGCGCAGTGTATATCTCCTGGATGCGCAGTTCCGATGCGCTGGAGATCTCGCTGGAGACCCGGCTCAGTAATCTCAGTTTCTTTACTCTTATATGTTTGTAAATTGTACATTTTTTGCTTTAAAAATGATTGAATTATGTTGTTTTTATATTCCGGTTGAGGGTTTTATGCCTTTAGTAAATATGTACGCAATATTTTTAGAATTATCAACAATTTTAAAATTGTTTAAGTGCCGCTAAGCCTAATTTGATGGCGGCCATTGATGCTTACATTTGAAACAGGAGACTAGTGGATTTGTTGCCAATCTAGAGATACTTAGCATCGCAACAACAAAGATAACGCATTCATTTATTATTTCCAATTAAATCATACTTAATCCTTTCTTGAATTTTTTCGAGGAAATAAGCGTTTAAGATTTACTTCATAATTTTTAAAACAGATATTTTGAGTTTTTATGTATTTTTGCCCTTGTCGCGAAGTGAGAACTGGATTAATTGAATGAGAAATACTCAATCGTCTGTGAAAGACTGTTTCTTTTTTGTTTTGTTTGCTTTAATTTCTTTTATACATAGTTCTAGCTTTATTATAGTATTTGAATAGTACATATGGCAACGATTAGATAATTCTTTAAATGATATGTGAATTTTGTGCATTCAGAGTTATAATATGAACGAAATATAATACTGTTAAGTAAACCTAGCGCCAGAGTGTAGCTATGGTAAACAAAGTGGATTTTAAAGAATGCATTTATTCTATTGTGGTTTATGCGCTGTCGGCGAAGTAGGCTTAATTCAATCTATTAAGTTTAAATAAAATGCGTATAATTTAATATTCCTTACAAGGAAGTCATGTGGTGAACACATCAGATTTTTTCCCCCGCTCGTCTGCAATGAAAAGAAGGAAAGGAAAATGAGTTGCTATTAATTAACAAGTTCGCCAAATGAATTATTCTTGGCGAGCACTGAAACAAATACGCCAAGTTAAATTTTTACATTTCTCCGTAAATTTCGGAACAAATTTTAGAAAATCTAGCATTTTGGCAAAATTTGAGTCGTAGAATCGAATTATGTAAGAACATTGGCATGTCATTTCAGAAAAAGTCCAATTTTGTGTCGAAATACTTATATTAGAACAATTCTCTATATATAAATCTGTTATATGTCCTAAGTCGCGCTTTCGACACATGGAAAACGCAATTTGAATTTTCTCAATCGACCCAGTTGAACGGGAGATGTAGGAAATGTCTCTTTTTTTTTTTAAAAAAAAAAAGAATTTAATTTCATTTTTTTGTCCAAAGGCGCAATTTGCCTTCAAGGACTATTAATCCGTTTTGCGTAGGTTCAGTATAAATGTCCGATTCACTTTTCAAATTGCTGCCGCCAAATATTACCGCCCTGTGTTATGTTTAAAGAAATTAAATAATGAAGAATTTGCATAAATGTATATATATTTCTTGCACTGTGATAAAACAACTGCGCCTAAAGCAGTTCAATTTTGAATAACATACGTTTTCCCCCGAATATGGGCATCTGGAAGCCCAAATTTGGAATAATTCGGAATTTGTTTTATTATATATCTCATACTTTGTGAAAATTTAACGAATTTTTAATTAACATACTCAAAGATTTAAAAGCGAGCAATAGCAACACTCTACGGGGGGGGGGAACCATTTTATCTTCAGCGAACGGACTTGTGTATAGGAAATTCTAAAGATATTCTCATTTTAAAATTATTTTGCGATATTGCTGTTGAACTGAATTTTAATGTTTAAGTGCAAAGAACATGATATTTAATAAATAAAGGTAACAAGCAAAACGTTAAAAAAACTCCTCTTTGGGCATAGTGTAAGATTTTCATTTTTCTTTTTAGTTCAAAGAGGCTTTGACCCTGAATGAATATTGTTTTCGTTTTGCGATTTTGCGTTGGTACAATATAAATGTCCGTTTCATTTTTCAAACTGTTGCCACCAAATTTTAGAGTCCTGTATTATATTTGAAGAAATTAAATAATGCAGAATCTGCATAAAAGTATGTATGTTTCTCGCATTGTGATAAAAAGCCATCGAATTTTGAATGACGTAATCCTCTTACGAATATGGGCATGTGGAAGAACAAATTTGAAATTTGGAATTTATCTTTATATCCATTTCATATTTTGTAATACCTTAACGAATTTTTGATTAAGAAAATCAAGGATTTCAAAGCGAGCAATGACAACGTAGTACAGAAAAAACATTTTTATCTTGTATCGAAAATTCTAAAGTATGCTCGATTTCAATCTATATTTTGCGATATTGCTCTTGAGCTGAATTTTATGCTTTAAGTGCGAAGAACGTGATATTTTATAAGTAACAACCAAAACGTTAAAAAAAAAAAAAAAAAAAAAAAAACCGCCTCATTGGAAGCCATATAAAATTTGAAACCTTTCAGATTTTTTTCGCAGTGTACATTCATGCAGATTTTTCGTTATTTAAATTTTTTACATATAGTACAGTGCGATAATATTTGGTGGATATGATCTGAAAAATGAAACGCCGTTTATAGTGAAACGCCACAAAATGCCGAAACGAAATTAATAGCCGTTCTGAACTAACACCCTTTGGACTAATAATATATCACTTAAAATAGTAATTAATTTCAATCTCAGTTCATTTGGATCAAATTTCCAAGTATGCAACAACGAAATTCATTTCTAAGATTCAGTTTTTGATTTTTTTCGTAAAGCTAATCTTATTAGTTAAACGAAAGTAAGCAAAATTTATCGAGAACTATGCATATCATGAATGACAAATTACAAAATGCCTGAGAATTAATTCGAAATATAATTTGTCGCATAAATGGATCAAATGTTACATTATATTCCTCTTGCCAAAATTTACGTGACAGGGATTCTAGACTTCGGATCTAGCCGCGGGATGAAAGACAAATAATAAAAAATGAAAACATTCAAGGACACGTGTTCTTAATGGAAAAGATTCACAGCATATTGGCCGCTCATTTACTGGCTCTGGGTCATTGGATATGTTCTCATCCGATGATAATTATTAATATTCCATCCGCATACCTCCCCTTTCTTTGGGGATGTATATAAGGTCGAGCGAACGAAAGCCAATCCACACACAGTCCTCGTGGTGACCATCCCTTGTACATCCAGTCCCATCTCCAGCTCTCTCATCTAACAATGAAGGTAATTATTCTTTGCTAGAAACCTTATCCTCAGTTAAGTTTATATCAACTGGGCTGCTTCCTGCTCTACAAAAAATTCTAATTGTATATTTACTAATTTTATGTAAAGTAATTAATTTTATTAAAGCGCAATGTTGTTACTCGGTGCAAGTTATTATTTGAATCATATGTTTTAACTTCAGTGTTTCTGAAATACCACAGCAGTATTACTTACTGCCTTTACTTAAATTCATATATATCAAAATCTTTAAAATTTTTGATTATTTTATTAATGCTATTCTTCTATAAAAATTGAAATTATTATCATTTTGTGTATTTAACTTTATTTTAAGTAATTAAAAAAATTATATTTTAATACACTTGATTTAAGAAATTTTAAAATTTTTCAATCCTTTGCTTAATTTTATATGATATTTATTATAATACTCTTAGTGGCAACATTTGCGATAGAAGCCATCTTGGAAAGATCTATTGCTTTAATAAGCAAGCTCGAAGCTCCATGTAGAGAGATGTTTGAGAAAATGCAGTAAAACTTTCAGACCCCCAATATCACTTCAAAACTTAACTATAATACGTATATAAGAGAAACAAGATACGAACGTAGCAGTAACGTCATTAGCAGAGAATAATTTTTAATTTTTATTGGCTTAAATGTTTCGTATAACTGAAAAAAATGTTTTAAAGGTTTCAGATTTTAACATGATCCAAAATGGTTTATTAAGTTTTCTTACGCTCTTGCTGAAATCACAGTCTAACAGTCTGCATGTCTGACACCTATTCCCCCCCGTTAATTTTTGCTCTTTTTAGCTTTAATATTAAGTTTAGCTTTAATATTAATATTTCAAATTGCGCCCAAAAGAGCGTCTTTTTTTAACGTTTTGTTGGTTATCTTTATTTATTAAACCGATAAAAATCCAGTTCAACAGCAGTATTACAATATATTTAAAAACAGCATATCTTTAAAATTTCCGGTAGACAGTCTCGCGCGCTGGAGATAAAAATGTTTTATTCCGAGCAGTGCTGCCATTGCTCTCTTTGAAATCGTTGAGTTTTATAATCAAAAATTCGTTAACGTTTCATAAAATATGAAATAGATGATAAAACAAATTCAAAATTCGGACTTCTGTGTGCCCATGATTGTGTGGAGGACTACGTTATTCAGAATTTGACGACCTTAGATACCATTGTTTTTTCACACTGCGAGAAACGTACATATATTCGTGCAAATTCTTCATTATTTAATCACTTTAAATATAATACTTGGCAATATCATTTGGTTGTAAATATTTAAAAAGAGATACGCAGTTTATAGTGAATCAACGAAAAATGCCGTTTCGAAGTCATATCCCATCCTGGATTAACGTCCCTTTTAGGATAATAAAACTGAAAGGTCTTCCAGTAGTTTAGGTTAAGTTATGTAAAAAGGCCTGTAGAATAAAATAAAAGATGTCGCATATTAGAGTAATAAGAGATCGGTAATAATACATTTGATATACATAAATGGAATAGGCAGAAATTGCGGAAGGCACTTTGAAATCTCAGTGTTTTTTCTGTGTAATAAAAATATGACAATTAAACTATCAGGCATTTGTCCCTCTTTTTGACAAAACGGAAAGACAGATAATTTATTTATTTTCTTTTGGGTAACGTAACAAATTATGATAATATTACGTTCTGTCTTCTTCCAAAAATTGTAATGGCAGTTAATCTTTTCATAAATTCTCACAAATCCCCCCCCCAAAAAAATCACAAATATTGCTTTTTGTTTCAGCTCTATTTCACAATATTTCTGCCTTCTACAAACTAAGTCTGGTATCGACATTTTTTGTTATAACACAGAAGATTCTCTTTTGAGAACTTCCGTCCATTTAACTTGATCGAACCGCTACATAAAATTTACTTTTACATTTTACATAACTTAACCTAAACTCCAATTGTAATACTGCTCCATTTAAATGTAATATGACTGAAACTGGTATAAGGATATATGTACGAAGAGCAGAAAAAAAAATATATTTTGCGTATTGAATAATATTAATCCTGAAATAATATGGAATTCAAAAATTAATCCTCTAGTGCCAAATGTTGATTTACTATAATGTGCTCTTTATTCATCATTAAAAGTTTATTTTTTCTATCACCTGTTTATTTTTTCTATCATCAATAAATCTATCTGACTATAGATTTATTTATCTATAGTCAGGATCAATTAAATGATTATATTTATTGACGTTTAATAAAACGACTATATTTGCTATTAATTTGAATTTAAAAAGAGAATAGAAGGAAAGAAATTAGTAAATTTTTGACATTTCGTTCATTTCATTTTCAAAAAAACACGTTTTTAGATGACTTCCTTTTTTATTTAATTAATACGGAATAATGAAGAATACATAAAATTATTGCCGACTTCAATATTTTTTTTGGGTCCCATTTCATTAAAAATATCCTTTCTTTTTTTTTTCAGGTCTTCATCATTCTTTGTCTCGTTGCTGCTGCTGCTGCCCAACGAGCTGTAAGTATCTTTTACATTGATTTTAGTTGATAATACTTGATTTTTACATGAATTTGAATTTTATAAAGAAGAAAAACGCTTGCATATACGATGCTGATAAAGTTAAGACATTTCACAAGAAAGATTAAAAATTAGCTTAAATATCACGTCTTGACTTAAAATTAAGTAAACATATGCTTTTTAAGCAGAAGGGTAACGTATTAAGAAATTACCTTAAATATTTCTTAAATATTTTTCGGCACATATGAGGCAAGATTAATTTTTAAAGGTGTGTTTAAAGAAATAAAACGTCTTATATTAGGGATAATGGTCGAATATTTTTAATTGCAATTTTAGCTCAGTTATATATAAACTATTCGAATATATTTATGTATTGTCGTGTAGTTTTCCTTTATTAATTCAAATTAACATAAATTTTGAAAAAGGAGTGGAGGAAAATTGCCCGAAATTAATTTTAACTGCAAGTAAATAAATAATGAAGCAGCAATATCTCAAATTACTCAGTCCAGAATATCAACTACCGCTACTACTGTCACACTTCTATTATGCGTGTTAGTTAAATGTTTAGTTTTAAGATATATTTCAGAAAAATTCTTCGTTATTGAAAACCCATTTGCCCTGATTCCTATCCGATTTATTTAATCAACGTTGCTTTTATCTCTCCATATTTACAATATTACTCATTTTGCATTGAAATCAATCGCTTGAAATGTACCGCCCAATTTACTTTACTTAAGCAGTTTACGTAGTAATACAGATTATTGATTACTATTCAAATGATTTCAAACATACTTATGCTTTTAATTTAAGAAATTAAGTTGGCACTGTTGCATGAAATGTAATGGAAATAATACGAGTTTTACTTAGAACGTTTCTAAATGACGTTTAAGGCTGAATGTTACTCACTTTTCTCATAAGAACAATGTTAAAACGATGGTGAAACTCTTGCTTTCCTTGCTCCTGTTTATCTTTACTATTAGCTCTGCAACAACGAATTGTGCAATTTCTGGAATTATATAGGCTCGTAGGAAACTGTGGAAAGAACATGTCATCTCGCATTTACCCAAAAGGTAAAATTCCAGGAGAAATACCAAGCAAGTTATGAAGAACATCCATCGGCTGTACTGCGCATTAAGAACTTAAAAAATGTTAACACACATTAATACTTAAACACACATTAAGACAGTTGACAATCTACTGGCATATTTTAGTAATGTTCTGAAATATTTCCATCTCAATTTGCTGCACATCGAATTAATAGTCTTTTAACACGTACGACATCACGCTTATTTGAAATCAGGTTAATCCTTTTTTAGATTTCAGTTTTCTTCAACATTAATTTTAATATGGCCTAAAGTTAAAGAAACAGGATTAAAAATTTGCAAATTTTGTGGTACAATATGTTAGCTTATTTATGTGTGTCCATTTCTCTGCGCAGGAACTGCAGTACCAACCCGTCCCCTATTCATTCAACTACGTCGCCGAACTTGAAGACGGTGGAAGAAGTTCTCACGAAGAATCTGGGGATGGTGCAGGACGAGTGAGTGGATCTTACACCGTCAATAATCTGGAAGGACACGCTAGAGTTGTCGAATACGTTGCTGATGAAGGTGGATTCCGAGCCAACATCAGGACCAACGAACCAGGCACAGACAACGCCGCTCCCGCTGATGTCGTGATTGAATCTTCCGCTGATGGAGCCGCAGCCCCTGCTGCTGCTAGGTCATACTCCGCACCAGTTTCTGCTCTAGCTGCTCGCCCAGTTCCAGCTTCCGCTGGCGCAAATACCGTTACAGACCCCAGAACTGGAGTCCGATACGTTTTGGTCCCTGATACCGATCCCAGAGCTGCTCGTGGAATCCCTGTCTAAATAATGGCACTGTAGTTATACTCTAATCACTTGCTTCCAAATTAGATACTAACAAAAAAATTTGACAAAAATGTTTCCTAGCAAATTTTTTATACCTCCTATAGCTTTTATGACTTATATTTTAATAAAATTATATTTTTTACAAAAGCTTTTAGTTTATTTATGTTGCAAAATTTTCATATACGAAATATTTTTATATCCTAATGCAAAAACATCCTTAATTCTGAAAAGAAGATAATATGGAATACAATCAAGAGTAATGTGTAAAATCCACTGGTTATTCTCATCCCTCTACATATATGGAGTGTATAGTGGAAGTGGCCCAGTAAATGCATTTTGGGAGTTATAAGCGCTAGTAGAAATTCCTTGTAGTAACCTCTTTCGTAACGAAATATTTTCTATGGCATCATTCAATGGTCAATTAAAATCATATGTAAAAAAATATATATTTCCAAGCATGGCTTCAATAGACAGGACACCTCAATTTAAATGTTTAAATCAATGTTGTCATAGTTTAGTAAATAATGGTAGTACGTTTTTCCATCATCAATGCTAATGCACTTCCAAAGTGATTTCTGCATGCACTCAGTAAATAATAACTTACTTATTTCAACTGCTTTATTTCTGCAAATGAATACGTTTCAAAACATCTGGTGATTTTCATATCTAGTATGAAAAAATTAAACATTGAGCGGTCAATGTTATTATTGTATTCTCAGTGTAAAACATAGGGTATATTTTATAGTGACAGTTAAAAGTAAGAAATGTGTAAAGTTGGCATTATTCTTGATAGTTTGAAAGACTAATTTATTGGATTTTTTCACATAGTTGAAACTGTATCCCACTACATATTCCAAATAGTTCACATACAGACTTATTTATACATATAAATGCGCGTATGAGACAGAAAGATAGGTAAGCATATACTGATAGATATGATAGTTTATATATATATATATATATATATGTATCAGTAGTTGTTAAGTATATAATTAATCAAGCAAGCTAAGAAAATACTAGTATGGTTGTCAAGATTCCAACTTTTTCTCAATTTAAATTGACAGATAAATACTCTCACATAAAAGGACAAAAAAAAAATTATTTTACTCCCAAAGGGGCTTTTTTTAACCTTTTGTGCGTTATCTTTATCTATCAAATATCATGTTCTTTGCACTTCAACCACATAAAATTCAATTCAACAGCAATATCGCAAAATATTTAAAAACAGCATATCTTTAGAATTTTCGATACACAATCTCATACGCTGGAGGTAAAAAAAGTTCTCATTCCGTGCAGTGTTGCCATTACTCGCTCTGAAATCGTTGAGTTTGTTAAACAGAAATTCCTTAAAGTTATATAAAATAAAATATATAGTAAACAAATTCAAAATTCGGGCGTGCAAGTGCTCAAGTTCGGGTGGAGGATTACGTTATTCAAAATTTGAAGCCACTAAGATCCGTTGGTTTCTTACAGTGCGAGAAGCATACATACATTTATGCAGATTCTTCATTATTTAATTTCTTTAAATATATAAAACAGGGCTTAAATATTTGGTGGCAACAGTTTGAAAAGTAAATCAACGCAAAACGAAATTTAGCGTTCCTGAACTAACGCCCTTTGGGCTAAAAATAAAAAAAATCTGCGTTAGTTTTTACTGTAATAAATACTGATAACACTCATCAGTAACAAAACTTTAAGAATTTCTTTGTTTTTTTAGAGGGGTTTACTAAGCACAGAAATGTTAAGAGCAACTTTAGCCAGCAGATATTAGTATATGACAGAACTCTCCGATATAATAAATAAAGCTAGTCTTTAAAATGCTCTCTTTATAGCATTACATTTATTTAGTTCTGCATGATTTATGACAATATTTTTAAGATAAGATCTGCATCTGCATTCTATGCAAATATATTAACTTACTTTGTCCCTTTGAAATTTAGTTAATACTTATTTTGATATTATACTAGCTGTCAAGACCGCCGGGAGAGAGGCATGCGGCCAAAGCAAGATTTATAACTTCTGCATACATCTGAAAAGAAAATGTAAAAAAATTCCAATCTGAACGAAAACATTTCAGATCATGTAGGATGTCATGATTTAAATTTAATGTAATGTAACAGCTTTTCCTTATTACCAATATTTGAATTAATATGGCAAATAACATATTGTATCAGTTATCGTAACTTGAAAAAAAAAGTTACCAATAGCAGAAAGTTTTTTAAAATGATGACTTTAACGAAAAATGTTCGACGTGCAATGCAATCGCTTGCTCTTTTCAACGTCAGAATATGACATTATATAAAAATAATATTTTGCTTAGTTTTTGGCAATGCTATTTTTAATTGATATTTTGTAAAACATACACTTTTTTATTAACAAACTCTAAGTTTCATAGCGATCAGTGTCAACACTTCGAAATAAAGCAGATTTTTGTCTCCAGGTTGCACAACTGTTGTCACTCCTAAAAAATGAGGGCGAAAATTAGAGATTACGGAGTTTTTAACTTATACCTTGGCTGATTAAAGTCCTATGAAGATGAGAATGGCCGAAATGGCTTCCCACTAATTTTTGGAATCTGGGTTACCTCTTCCAAAACTCAAGTACCCACCTTTCGGGAAGAGATAATGCCACAACCACAAACAAACAGACACGCGCAAATTTTTAATAGTATAGATATTTCATATAATTTAACATAAAAAATAAGAAGTTAAAATTAAAAGCCATAAATGGATTTTGAAAGCGAAAATCTAGCACTATCGCTGCTAGGACTAAAAATGTCAATTTAATTACTAATTTTATATTTATAATTATCTCCTAGGTGAAAAAAAGAAATTAAATTTTCCTATAAGCTAATTACATTTGAGGTAATTTTCTTAAAAAAATTTAATTTTGGCATATTTAATTTTATTTGCTTTCCTCCAATCTTTATTTTGCAACTTGATTTAAGATATAATAACTGTACATGGCAAGGATCGTTAAGTGCACAATGACGAAAATACTTTATTTTCGTTTCATTATGTGAGTTTAAAAACTCTAAATACTAATGTTTTAATGACTTTTCAGTTTGTGTTAGCTATGAGTACAAGCTCGATTACTGTACTACCATTCGTACATTGTTGTCCCAGAATAAATGCACATAGAAATTAAATTTAGAAAGTGCAGTTTTCATTTTATATTTTACAAATTTTTAAATTTTGATAATAATACTAATATTCTAATATATTCCAATCTTTTCCCAGCTTACGTTCGCAGTGTGTAAGAAGTCAATTCATACATGAAAGCTGGCAGGTTATCGTTTGAAGAAAAATGTATATGGAAACCAAACATTTAACTCATATTCTCCATGATCTTTATTACAAAACTCACAAATACAATACTGAAGCATCAGCTAATAATTTACAACAAGCAATACATGTGTAAGCATTCAAAGTAAAGGGAGAATTTAAGGAGGAATACAACCATTTTTACCACTTCTTAGTTAACATAAAATTATATTTTAACAACATTAGCATAAGCAAAACTAGGAATGCGACATTAATTAAAAAAAACACTTCCTAGCTTCGTCTTTTATAAGAAATTCTAAAAATTATTAACATTGATTAAAAAAATTCTTTTGATGAACAAATATTTTATTAGAAAGACAAAATTTTAACATATAATGCAAATGTTCTCAAATGCGTCAGAAAGCTTTATTTACGAGTTCAGTCGTTCTCTCATTATAGTAACCCCCACCAGTAACCGGAACAAATTTCCATTTCGTAAGGAAATTCGTAAAAATGCAACAATCTATACCACTGGGAAAGTTATATCAGGATGTTTATTAAGACTTTGCCAATTAGTTTCCAGTCTACGTTAATCTATTTAGTAAGGACGCCTATAGGGTACCGGTCTACGGTACACTGGTGGTCTTCTGACTGGTGGTGGAACAACTGGAGCTTCAGGTGCTGGTACAACTGGTGCAACTGGTTCAACTGGGGCGTTGAGAACTGGACGTCGTACACCTCGTGGATAATAAGGTCCACTATAGGGCACAGCAGAAGATTCAATGATGACATCAGCTGGATTCTTGTTATCTGTTCCTGGCTCATTGGTGCGGATAGAAGCACGGAACCCATCTCGGTCGGCAACATAGTCAACAACCCTGAAGTGACCTTCATCATTATTGAGGGAATAGGATCCTTCAACGCGTCCTGTACCATCAGCTGTTTCACTTCTAGAACTCTGGCCTACGCCGTCATCTAGGGGAGCATTGTAGCTGAAGGAGTACGGCTTGGGACTTTCATCGTAATAGTATGGATTGATGCGATAATCCTAAATTAAAAATGGAACTGTTAATTTAAATTTCAAGTCACCAGATGAAACTCAAAATTTTAAGCTGTCAAAAAAGTATAATTTTTCTCATAAAATTTTATATATTGGCAGCAGTAACAATCAGCGACCATGCCTCTTCACGCATCATCTCTAGCTTCGAATTCTGCAGTTAAATTTTTCTCAAAATATGAGCTGACCAAAGAAAGAGCATAGATAATTAAAACATTTTTAAGATAAATTTCAGCTATGTTTTTGATAACCATTTAATTTTTAAATTCGCAGTATACAGTGCTAGGTATATAATATAATTTTTAACATTTATTTTTAAAAGTAAGTTTTAAAATATATTAACTTCTTCTAAAATATATTAACCTTTTCTTCTTTAAAATCTGTTGTTAACCTGAAATATTTCGCATTATTTTATTTATTATCTTCAATATAATCAATCAATGATAATATAATCAATTCAAAATAATATGAAATTCTTATATCTTGTCTGATGTTATTTTTTTGATAATTGGAAAAGCTGAACAACTTGTCCATAAAATTTATATTCTAATCTAATTCCTCTGTCTGGTCGATACAGGTGCAGTTTATTCAACTAATCTCGGGTTTCATGTTAGACATACGGAATTCTTCTCGATTCCATATGGGTTAAACACTGAATTAAAACCAAGCCCATTCCGTCTTAGTTGAAGTTCCGACATAATTTAAGCTGTAATATAATACAGATAATAAAACTGATGAATAATTAACAAACTGCATTCTATCATTTTTAAAAATGAGGGCAGTTTCATGTTTGGTTTGCAGATTAAATTGCAATGAATAGCAAACCCTACGGCATATGTTACAGATTGTGAACTATTTTTAATTATTATTTTCGGAAGGTAAAATCTACTAATGATAATTTATTCGAATAAATGTTACTAATACCATTTAGATAAGTATTATACTGACATGTTTACCTTTTAAAAGAAAAGTCTAAATATTCATTGAAAATTCTAAAAGAATCATTTATAATTTAAATGAACAATAATTCATTATTCAAATCTTTTATCAGAAAATAAATTTTAAGAAAGACAAAATTAATTTACTTGTCATTTGAGAACAGGGCAAAAAGAAGATTTTCTATTTTAGAAAATTTCCAACAAAATGTAGTTTTATATCCTCCTACTTTCAAGTTTTCGAGATCCTTATGTTTAAAGGTAATTTAACGGTTTTAAAAAAGAATATAAAGCATATTCTTACCCGTACAGGCACTGCGGCTTGACCATTAACCAGAGCAACAGCTGCTGCCAATACAAGAACCTGTAATTAAAAAATATTTAATGTTAAATACTTAAGCAACTTTAATTATTCTATTAATATTTCTATTTTTTCATTAAAATTTCTGCTTTTAAGCCTTTAAAAATAAATATCTCTGTAAACTGAGAGATATTTGACAAACTTTTCGCAACCTGAAAGTCTACTTCATTTTTTATATTTCTTAATTTGGAACTAAATTTTCATGTTTTAATTTAAGACTGAGATGTTTAAGAAATATTTAATCGGAGAAATTTTCGAAAATTTTAAGAGATATTTAGTCGCGAATAGTCACGACAGTTTGAAGCATGAAGCTCGGGCTTTGTAACCCTGACCGGTAACTATAGCCTGTTTGTAAATTATCGGATAATATTAATTGCAAATTAATTAGTTCTAGTTGTTTTACATTCAGAAATAACATTTGTAAGAAACAATGTGGGGGTGACATTCAATATTACAATTAGTAGCTGTATTTCCTTAAAGATTATTGAAGATTTGAAAATTTCGCTTAAACAGAAAAATTTAATTTTCAACTGCAATTCTTATAAAATTCGCATTAAAATTATTTTAGCGTAAATAAGACTTTCTCCGAAAGAAATGAAACTGAAACAGTGAATAACACATCTTCACTTGAGTAAACGACTGAATAATAAAGCCGTCTTTCCTAATTTTTAAACTGAAAAATTTTCAGTATAAAATAAGCATTAATTTAAGTATTAAATTAATTATTTATTAAGAAATAGTTTTTATAATTATGAAAGTTTTTTGCGAGGTTTGCTTAAAGTTTTCAAAGCATTAAATTTTCTAAATTTTCGTAATGTAAAGAAAGCTTAATAATAATATCGTTCTGTCCTAAAAAGTAAAAATTTTAATTCTAACCCTAATTCTAACATTTAGAAAACGTCTAGTATATTTAGATAAATTCACACAATATCAACCAAACTGGTGTATTATGCGCGACTTTTATCTAAGATCTATTATCGTTCAAATTTTCATCGATGGATGATACTACTCGTATTATATTGATATGGCAAAATGAGCACATTTAAATCCTTAAAAAGAAAACATGCAACAGGAATTATAATAATAAACTGCTACATTTTTAGCAGTACTCTAACATATTCGTAAACGCAATTAAATAAACGTTGTGTATACCTAATTTTTCTTTTTCTGTTCTAAAAGCGTCATTTATGAATGCAAATTTGAATTAAATGAATCTTATGCTAAAAATAATCTGCTTGTATAACTTTTCAACTGCTAATTGCATTCTAATACTCTAGCCTGCCATTTTTCTATGATTTTTTCAAATGCATTAAGATTTATGAGTTACCTGTATTTATAACATGTTCATTTCAGAGAGATTTCTAATTCCATGTTTTGGGGAATTAATATTTTAGAGACATGAATTACGTATAAGAAGTAAGAAACATCTTGTTTTTATCATTTTTTAAAGAAAAATTAAAGATGAGCGCAAAACGAAGTTTATGATAATTTCAAATGATATGGAAAAAAAAATCATCTATCATATTCGAAGTACTTTCTCATTTGGTTTCAACCTCTCAGAGAGGAGTGAAACAGTATATATCAAATGGGAAAACTTTCAGAAAACGACGGTGAGGAAATCGCCATTTTTAATTCTGTTAAGTGACGGTATGATTTGTTCACTCTTTTCGCAAATGTAAAAAATACATTTAATTTATACACATTACTTTAAAAATTACATTTACCTACTACTACATACATACCGTAATTATGTGTTGACAGTATTATTAACATGTTTAACATTTACAAAATTTAATTTTTCTAATCTTCACATTTAAACGTATGACATACATGATAATATATAATAAGTACATGTACACTGAGCAAAAAGGGGGGGGCAGTTCCATACCTCTCGCTCTACTAGGCCAATTGACGAAATTCAAATTGCGTTCTCCATGCCTCGAGAGCGCAATTTAGCATACATATTATATTTATATATAGCATCATTCTAGTATAGGTATTTTGACACAAAATCGGACTATTTTTGAAATGGTGAATTCTTTTCCGTATTTCGATTCTAGGTCTCAAATTATGCGTAAATATTAAATTTTGTAAAATTTGGTGCGAAATTTACTGATAAATTCAAAAATTTATTTTGGCGTACTTTTTTCAGTTTTTGAGCCAAGAATAATTTATTTGGCGAACTTCTAAATTTATAGCAACCTATTCCCCCACCTTTTTTTTTTTTTTTTTTTCTATTGCAGACGAGCGGAAAAAAAAATCATCGTCAAATGATTTTAACAAAGTGTGTAAACCACATTTGGCGTTATTATCGCTCAAAAACAAGATGAGAAATCTCAGAACGCTCCAATATGTAAATTTATGTATATCTTAGAAAATTTTGAATAAAAAAATATAATTTTTTGCAGGTGTGCCGCCTAGAAACACATCTACTTTAAGACGATGTTAAGAATTTTATAGGTTATGATACAAAAATCTTTTCGAAATAATTATAAAAAATATTTAAAAATACAAATTTTAAAAATAAATCACAAAAATGTGCGAATTATATTTGGATTAAGCGGCGTAAATTTCGAATTCTGGAAGAAGGAATCAAGTAAGTAAAATACGGAGATTAATAAATATATGTCAAATTCGATTAACATTGACAGCTAAAATTTTGAGAGGTAGATTTTAAAAACCACTCGTGCGACTTTTACGAAACTTGGCAGTTTAGCATAAATTCAGTCGTAGAATCCGAAATACGGAAAAATATTGGTCACTTCAGAAAACTTCCGATTTGTGTCAAAATACCTGTATTAGAGCAAATGCTATACATAAATCTAATATATATCCTAAGTCGCGCTTTGGAGACATGAAAAACGCAAGTTGAATTTCATCAATCGGTCCCCGTAGAATGGAAGATATAAAACTGTCCTCCCCCCCTTTTTTTCCCGCAGTGTACTTCTAGAAATACAGAAGAGTAGTTTTAAAATAGAGAAGGTCTAGAGTTTTACATATTGTATTATTTAAAATGCGATCCTCTTTCGCTAAGCAACGGCTTCTGTTACTTTCGTTAAAGCCACGGCGGAATCCACTTTCGTCAAGCAACGGCTCCATCAAGTAAAGAACGAGAAAGTCTTGCTGAGGCACGTTTTTGATGTGGTTTGAAGAGCGATTCTTTACGGAGTCAATTATAAAAAATGAAAAAATGTTCTCTTGAAAGAAGGTTTCAGTTTTGATAAAGGGAGTAAGTCAAAAATCAACAAAACAGAGGTGTGGTTGAATCTAAACCTTGTTTTAGGGCCAAAATCATCTGTACATATACTTACTGATGTCAAGGTTCAGTATAACGCGTTTGAGGTAGTGGTTTCCCATTCAGTAAATGATGTAAAATGCAGTGATTAAAAACTGTGCTTGATTCTTAGAGTTATAAATTGTTTACTGTGCTAGGTGATGAAAGTTTTTTTAAAAGAATGCTATGTATGTTTCAACGGCAGCTTTATAAGATTCTTTTTAAAGTGCTGTTCTATTATTTAATTCTTAAACTGCGCGTGCTACATTGCAGTCATTTAATTATTTCAAATGCCTACATTTCCATATTCAAAATCGATTAATTAAAAGTCATTATAATTATATAAAGTTATTCACTCATATATTAAACACTATTCATACTTTCAGAGAAATTAAGTTACCAATTAAAACCCGAAAATATGAAATTTATAGATATAATGGAAATCTTATCTTCCTTTCAGTTTCGAACAATATTTCGCGATTTTTGGCAACAAAGCTTTTCTGAGGAGATACAGCTAATGGAAATAAATTATTCTATATTTTACAAAGAAAGAATATTTTTATTTTGTATTATTATTTTTTATTTTACAGAGGGATAATTTATCCAATATAGAAGAAGAAATATTTAATTTTGTACGCAATTCAATTGATTTGAACTTTATTAAACATAAAATGGAAAACGAAATTATGCAACAAGATTATGTCTTACCTGCTTCATTACATTTTCATTTTATTATTTGTCAGTTTTGTGCACTTTAAGCTTATGTAGTTATAAGGTTCCTAACTAACTCATTTGTCTAAGATGAACGTCGCGGAATCTAGTGAATTATGTAGCGACTGAGTGGAAAGTAACTAAGACGTAGAATCGAGAAGAGTTAAAATACCCTTTTATTCACTCAAATAAGAATAACAGTCGGCCTCTTCTCGGGCTTTAACTCAGGATAAGAAAATAAGAAATTAAACTTTAATTAACTAAACGAGACTTAGCCGAAGCTAAACACAAGTATGTAACGTAGTTGGTCCTTAAATTAAATTACTCGGTGAATATCAATAGCCACGCATAATACGACCGAGCCTAACAGCTTCAAGAGTGACTTAGGCTTCCTAAATACCTCTTCTAACTCATTTGCATTCAACGCGATTCTAAAAACTCATTTTGGTAGGGAGTTGTAAGTAGAAAAAAGAACTGATAGGAAAGGGTTTCGAAATTAAGCTATCTTTTGTAAAATTAAAATATACCTTACACAGAAAATACTTTTAAGGGGAACGAGCTATCTTAAAATTATTCTTAGTTTTTAGATTGATTTATAGATACAGTTCTTTATTAACGTATTCATACAAATTCAGATAATGATAAAAAATTCAATTTATGAGTAAATTCAAATAGTTCATAAATATTAACTGTAAAATATTTTAATCATGCAAGAATAATTGGCAAATCTAACATTATTTTTGCTTTGGTTACCACTGTCTCTTCCTCGCATTTCGTAAAACAAAAGAAAAAAACTCTCCGTTTGTTAATTAATACCATGCTTATTAAAATTTGAATTTTGATTCCGAGTAGAGTATCAATGAATCGATCATTGATAATTTGAAATTAAATGGAACTGAATATTCCCTACTGATGAAATGTAATAAAAGCTAATGATAACTTTTTTGATAAGTCAAATTTCTTTAACTCAGTAAGTTAACTCAGAAGTTAACTTTGCCTTCCAACCAGGATAGTGGTTAGTGACGCTGACTGCCGTACCAGTTCGAATCCCAGAGAAGACATGGATATTTGTAATTGTATAGTGTCTTGGGCACTCTAAATATGCGGTGAGCCGAAAGTCCTCTCGAGCAGTTGATGGTAGGGGAAGAGAGATGGGAGTCCATCGGACCCGTCTTCTCGGTGTGCTCTCCACAGGTAGATAAAAAGTATAAATAAGGGAATATTACTATTTTCAGCTAACTACAATAGAAAACAGCTTTGAGATAGGTTTTAGTTACACTAAGCATGTTAGGAAAATTTTATTATCTTGATCCTAATTTACCACTGCTGAAATCTTGCTGAAGCAATCGCCGGCTATCGTAGCCAGTGGCAGAAGGGATTAAAATCACCAAACAAAGAAGGTCCAATGCGGATTTTAACTAGCAAACCGGCTGCCTGCATAGTTGATTTCTTGATTTTTCGGCTCCGAAGACTAAAAATGCATCATTCAAATAAAAAAAATCAAAATAATTTAAACTAAATAATAATAGGAAAGGAAACAATAATGGTAACAGAATCTCTCAAGAAAAGAAGAATTAAGAGACGAAAAGCTTATGAAATTATGAAGTAAACTAAAAAACTAAACCTCAGTGGTGCAACAGCCCTAGTGGGCCACGGCTCGCAGTGCCCCTTTTCTGCTTTCTTGACCTTTGGACCCTGAAGTGTATCAGCCTGTGGCCTAGGCAAATGGTCAGCTTGTCGCAGGACTCTCTGTGTTTATTCCCCAAACGAACTTTGTACTCATTTTATCGACCCACTTTAGGGATGAAAGGCTGAGTCAAGCTTGCCCAGCCCGGAGATCGAACCCCGGACCTGTGGTGCAGCTGCGCGACGCGCTAGCCACTTCGCCACCGGGCGGTCATTATGAAATAAGTCAAGCAAAAAAAAAAAAAAAAAAATCTGCTCCTGAAGAAGAGACCTGTGTCTGATAGCTTGGTGAAATAGATAAAGGTTTTTCGAAAGCTACTCCAAAATAAGGCATCTTTCTAGCCTAATTTAGTATTTGAGGTATTTTTCTTTTATTTCCTATGAGAATGCATTTTTGCCCTATGTTGTCCGCTTCGCTACGTTAAAAAGTTATCAGCATTTAGGAGTCTTTCTATGAATGGAAAATAAATTTTATATGCAAAATCTAGAGCTAACTCATGAATAAAATTTATATCTTTGCCCGTTTAAATCGCTCCTGAGAACTATGGACTATTAAAGCAGGAAAAGTTCTCTCTTATTTGCTTTTAAATTTTATTTAAAATAAAAAAATGAAATGCTGTAATATTGTTAGTTACTATTACTGTTACTTACTTACTTAAGATTAAATTAATCCTAAGTTTTCTCTAACCCATTTCTATGAATTCTCGCGAATCCTTCGTATAAAAGGAATAAAAGGAAAAAAAAACTTTGATATTAAATGATGTTAATTAAAACAATGTTTGAATCTTCGTTTAATTAAAAACAAATTTGAGAATGCATTATAAAAAATACATCTTTCTAATTATATTTATTAAAAGGATGAAAATAAAATGCATTGCCTGGCGTACATAATCAAAAATCTTGAACTTAGAATTTTTAATTTTTTCCGTATAATTTGTAAATAATATATAATTCCATATAATTATCTGATTTCATGTTTTTATATATTTTCATAATCGTTCTAAATAAGAGCAAATTTAGAATGTAAGGGGATTATTTCAACGATTAACTCAGTTTAATACTAAACGTGTAAAATTTAAATTTCTCCAAAATAATAACTGTTGCACACGCTGCAGCTATGAGAATACTTTTCGGAGGAGTAATACTTTAAGAAAGATACACAAGAAGTACTTTTTAAGAACAGAAGGATTACCTTTTTAACGAAAGGAGAACTACCTGACTCTGACTTTATGCATGAGGAAAAACACGAAACGCCATGGAGTGGATGAAGTCATGTATTAGTTATATACTATGAAACGCATTAAAAGAGATACGGACTAATAGATAGAAAACTTTTTATAATATTTGGGCCCCTATTTGAACAATTGATCGCTGAGGGTTTAAGCAAATAGCTAAAAGCAAGATAGTGGCTGACGTTCAAGCTGCGTTTTAATAAATAAAATACGAAGTATCAATAACTTACGAAGATCATGATGACGATGCTGTTCTTTGCTGGAGGATGCCCGAAGATGCTTCAGCTGAAAATGATGCACCTCATCTCGCCGGGCATCCGTTTATATACCCTCCTTTTGACAACTTTTCTCCAGTATGGATCCACATGATGAATGATCAAAAAGGTCAAAATATCAGTAGACCAAAAGAGGGAGGAAGAGCAGAAGACAAACCACTCAAGGCCCGGAATTAATGAAGGCGCGATTATTCGTCCTTGGCAGAACTTTTGGCTTTCAAATCCGCTGACGAAGAGGGGAGGGTCGGCGTGAAAGTGAAGCAACAGGTGACCAGGTCACAGGGGAAGAAAAACGTGCCCAATTGCATTTGCATAGCCGCTTCCGAGTGGCAGATTTATAGGCAGGTCTTCCTGACGAGGCACGACCGTTTATCAATAACTCCTGCCTCAAGATGTGATTGCTCGGGAGGAACACGTTATGTTACAAAGAAAGGAACCCGGATGGATGAGTAACGACCGTTTGATATACGCCTTTTCTATTTAGAATCGAAGGCATTGGTTTTTGTGATAAATAAAATGTAACAATTAATTGTTTGCCTTCATCTCACTCTCGCACATAATATAAAAATATAAATTAAGAAAGCAATACAAGTAAGCAATTGGTAGTTCAAATCTTATTTAAATATAGCCCATAGTTAAGATTCTGCAATTCTAATATCCACAGAAGACCTCTTAGTGATAATATAATCTAGAAGGTTGAAAATATGATTACTAGCAACTGTTATTAAGATATTCCCGGCTATATTAGTAAAATATCAGTGAAGTATAAATTTACAATTATTATAATAATATAAAGTTTTAGCTGCGTGTGATTATTACTTATTACTTAACCTGCACAAAATTTTTTGACGCATACATACTGGAAATGCAGTTTTCTGTCTAACAGTTCAGTCAGATTTTTTCTGGCAGTTTAAAATGTGTAACGGCTTTAAAACTCAATATAAAATCAATAAAAATTCGGTTAAGACTATTAAAGCAATGCGCAAACTTCAAATGAACTACATAGATGAAAACCACACTAAGTTAATCATTCAGATATGTAAGCAGAAAAATCTCAAAAGAATTCAGATATGTAAGCAGAAAAATCCCTTAAAGTTTCTCTCAAGAAAATAAATATGTGTTCTCCAACAACAAAGCATCCAAACCGGGATAGTGGTTAGCGACCCTGATTGCCATACCGAAGTGCCCGGGTGGCATGGATATTTGTAAATGTATAGCGACTGTGCGGCAAGGGGGAACCTTACATATGCGACGAACTGTAAGCCCTCTCGAGAGGTAGGTGATAGAGGAAGAGGTGTGGGAGATTCTCGGACCCATCTCTCTCGGGTTGCTCTCCATCAAAATTGGGGAAGGATGGAACTGAGCAAAGTCGTACCCGAATGGTGCTCAAAGCTCTTGCCAAAGATAGGAGCAGTCTTGCACTCCTTGCCCCGATGAATTTCGCAGGCTTGTTCTGATGTTACCATCAGACAAGTGAGATAAGTCACAACACAGCTAGCAGTCGATAGTATAATAGAAGAAGGGGAATAGAAATAAGCACTGATATTTTCTACCTATTGCTGGCATGTGTGTTTATTCTCCCTCTCCAGTTTAATAACTTTGTGTTGCTGTGAAACAAACAGGCTATTAAAATGGAAATTTTATTTAAAAAAAAACATATATTTCAATTGAATAATCTAATTTTTTTTTAAGTTTTGGCAAAACTGAATTAATGCATTCATATACAGAATAATCGTCTAGAGAATAATTAGTCCAAAGGGGCAATTTGCCCTGTAGGACTATTAATTTCGTTTTTGCATTTTGCGTTAAAAACTTAAAAAAGGCTGTATTACTTTTTAAGTCGTTGCCACCATATATTATCGCCCTGTCTTATATTTAAAGAAATTAAATAATGAAAAATCTGCATAAATGTATGTATGTTTCTCGCATTGTGATAAAACAACGGTACCTAGAGCCATCAAATTTTGAATAACGTAGTCCCCCACCCGAATATGAGCACCTGCACGCCCGAATTTTGAATTTGTTTATTATCTATTTCATATTTTGTAAAACTTTAAGGAATTTTGGATTAACAAAGTCAACGGTTTCAAAGCGAGCAATAGCAACACTGTACGGAAAAAAAAAAAAAAAAAAAAAATTATCTGCAGCGTGCCAGGCTCTATCGGAAATTCTAAAGATATGTTCAATATAAAATTAATATGCGATATTGCTGTTGAACTGAATTTTATAGTTTGAGTACATTGAACATGACATTTAATAAATAAAGGTAACACACAAAACGTTAAAAAAAAACGCCCCCTTTGGACGTAATTTAAAATCTGAAACCTTTCAGATTTTCTTTTTTTTTTTTTTTAATTTTAAAATCGCTTATTTGTTTAGTATTGAGTACAATACCGGAAGTTCGAACTGTTTCGGAATAGGACGGAAGCCTATTCTGATGGTATAGTGATTTCCGCAAACTAAATGACTTTCACACCATTGAGTAAAGTCAAATAATGCTCTGCCATTTGAGATAGCAGTGTTTTTGAGGCAATTAAAATTTATCAAGTACCAATCAACCTTTTGAGAGCTTGGTGGTGGTTTAGCATGAGAACTTTGGAGTCCCTTCTCAACAAACCCCTCTATCAGAACTGGGAAGGAGTTTGGGCAGACGAATCTCATAAGCTTCACTTAAATTAAATAATCCAGTCTTCTTAATGGTTTCTTGGGCTGTGCGTAATACTGGGCGTGTATAAGTTTACTGGCCCAAATTGTTCTTAGTATATATATATTGTATGATTCTCGTTACCTTCCGATTTTGAAACGGTTTTTTAAACTTTCAAAGATTTTGAAACTGATAACTAACTGCATTTAACGGATAAATAACTGCATTTAACGGATAAATGCAGTTAGTTATCACTTTTAAAACTGAAACATTCTTTTATAAAATAAATACACTAAACACAATATGCCTCTGCAGAACCAGACTGAGATCTTAAAGAAATATCCCAAAAGCGAAAGTAACTCATGTGATAAGTGCCCCTCATAGATAATTTTTTAAATGGATTTATAAACAAAAGTATTCATGAAAACGAAGAAAAACTTTGCATGAGTATTTCTCTCGCAAGTAGCATTTCTCTGGTTTGAAAAATTATATCATTTGAGATTTTTTCCTCATTAAATTAAGAAAGACATTTTGCAGAATTAAAGTAAAAAAATAATAATTCATCTCATAAAAACCGAGTGAAAACTAACCATACCAGTACTGTTATTTCTAGTTATAAAGTTTATAACGTTAACTTTATCTTTCGTGTTTGAGCTCTTCAGTACATTTCTCCTATTAACAGCAGTATATTTTAGGTGAGCAATTGTTTCCTATGGACTGTAATCTTTCTATTAACGAATTATAACAACAGAAGGCTTGCTAGTGACTAAGTAGTAACTTCAGATAACCTAAGTATAACAAATAGTGGCTGACTTCAAATCTAGTACTTTTTTTTAAACTTTTCTATGACAGAAACCATTATCCAGTGGCTAAGTTGAATGCTAATGAGATTGTGGCTTAATATTTTTTCATATATAAACTGCTTTTTAATTTGGTATACATCAATTTAATTCTGCTAAATATTAATTTAATTTGCTACATATTAATTTATTTTGCCAAATAATTATTTGCTATATATTAATTTAATTTTGTCAAATATTAAATTATTTTGCTATATATTGATTTAATTGTACTATAAAATTACTTTTAATTTATTATAGTAATTACTATTACATAGTTATTAACAGTAACTAATTGGGAGGGAGGCCGTCCTTTGGCTACAGTCGGCGGCTACAAATCGGCGTTACAAAGTTTTACCAAACCTGTAGTTAGTTTCTGAATAGAAACTTCACCAATATTAATTCCCAGAAAGAAAGCGGAATTTCTTGAGTAGCATGGAGTTTACTTATGTAGCCTTATATACAAAGGTAGGTTTGTCCAATAGATGTTCCAGGGGCATTTGTCATTTATTTCAACTAGAGCATGAAACTCTAAATGCAAACCATTTGACCATTTCCATCGCTACGGTTATGTTTTCTATCGGCTTCCGTCTTTTTCTGTTTTTGTATGCAAAACTTCAGTCTCTTTAAATGTAAAAATAGCTTTCCTTAATACATTTAACATCACGAGGCTTTTCATTTCAAGTTTTTACATCTCTGAAACTTCGCAATACCAGCAGTGCATTATTGCAGCATTGGTATTAACATTTAGCTCTATATGGCACGCAATGTCACTTAGCTATAATATGCATGCGTGCGAGTTCGTAATTGATTGAATGCACAAAAGTCCTCTGGTAGGTTAATAAAAATTGATTTTACCAAAATAAATTCTTGAAAGTTCTGGAACTTTCTGCAGAAATACTCATACAGGTGTCGCAGTATCACAGAGTACAATCAGAAGTTGCGCTTCAAACTACTAAAAACGTTAAACACAACGCAATGCAAAGCGCATCTAAAGAGAAAGCTACTCGGATATATCTCAGTTCACGCAGAACTAACGACTCGCACAACAATTACTAAGCAACTGAGAGCAGATGCTCTCTCTCTCCGACCTTAGTTTTCCCAACCCCCTTCCCCGACGAGATATTTCTGCTTCTCGTAATTACTGGAAACCAATACAACGGTGGAATTACGGTTACAGCTAACATAAAGGTCAATTACATTTATTCATTGTAAATACATATTACGGTGATACAGGGAATCGGACCAAAATGTCAGCAAACGGTCGCTACGTAGGGCTGCTTTTGGCGATTTCTCGCCAAATTTGTAGGTAAACTAAGTGACCGAAACCGTTGTCAGCCTGGCGATGTCTCGCCAAATTACCAAGATACCCATTTACTCAATGTTAAATGCACTTACCCCTGTATTCCTATGTTTCCGGCATAGCTTCTCTTTAGAATTTGTTTCGCGTTACATTACGCAGAAAAGTACAATTTCACATAGCTGCACTAAAATCATCTATCTATGTACAAACCTCGTAACAATACAGTTGTTTCACCAGTAATGGAATAGTGAAAAAAAAAACAGTTTTAT